AAAAAGACTAAACCAGGACTAAAAAAAAGACTAAACCAGGACTAAACCAGGACTGAACCACGACTGAACTGAGGACAGAACCAGGAGGACTAAACCAAAACTAAACCAGGACTAAACTAGGTCTAAACCAGGACTAAACCAGAACTGAACCAGGACAGAACCAGGTCTAAACCAGGTTTAAACAGGTACTAAACAGGACTCAACCAGGACCAAACCAGGACTAATCTTGGACTAGAACTTGGAATCTAGTTCCGCCCCTAAGTGAAGCCCGTGGAGCAGGGTGTCTGCAAGGTGTGATTGAGCATCGGCTGCTCTTCGCCCCGTGGAGCGAGGAGTCCTTTCACTTGCGGTCACCTGACGGTCTATGTGGCTCATCTCCGGCGTTTCACTGCTGCTGATATTACGGTGATTTTACTGAATTTGTATGAAGAAAAACCCACCACTTCAATCCAGGTTAAAAAAACATTGTACTCACATTTGTACCAAGTAAAATATTACTATTTTTTTCCTGTAATGCCTTACGTTGCTGCTTTACAGCAAAAAGTAATGCATTACAGTAATTGTTACTTTTATAACACGTTACTCCCAACACTGATTGTACAAGCAGCTCGGAGGTGCGTGTTAGCATGCCAGTGAGTAGGGTGCACCGATCAAAACTGTTACCAGATATCGACTCGACTCGATAATTATTAATTCATCTGGTGTAGTGCCTTTAAAAGTGGAATGTTTCCTACTGATGACATAATGTATCTTCATTGAGACAAACAGGTCACAGGTCAGATCTGTGCAGAGGCGAGCCTGTCATTAAATAAATGCAAGAGAGATAAGTTCAGTGCTAGAGCAAGTGCACAGCGCCCAGCACACAGAGCACCTTTAACTTCAACCTCCATGATGTGCTTTTCAAATATGGAACTGCCGATCTCTACTGAACAAAAGGTAAAAAACTTCTGCTTCATGACACAGTGTTGACTTTTAAAATGTAATCCCCTACAGATTACAGATTACATACACCAAAATGTAGTTTGTAACAGAATCCATTAAATTACTTAAAGTGAGTAATGTAATCTGAATACTTTGGATTACTTGATTTGCTGTAGAGAAGCAAAGACGAGGAAATCTTCACATAAGATGTTTTGTCTGATAAAAGAAAATAAAAAGATCAGAACCATATTAAAAATATTATTGATAGAAGATGAGGAGACACGTCCACACAGCAGGTTTTAGTCCTGGTTTAATCCTGGTTTAGTCCTAGTTTAGTCCTGTTAAATTCTGTTTTTAGACCTGTTTTAGACCTGGTTTTAGTCTTGATTTAGTCCTGGTTTAGTCCTGGTTTAATCCTGGTTTAGACTTGGTTTAGACCTGGTTTTAGTCCTGGTTTAGACCAGGTTTTAGTCCTGGTTTAGACCTGGTTTAGTGTCCGGCAATGAGTGGAATTACCGAAAAAAAAAAAAAAAATCCAATTAAAATCCATGTAATCCATTTATTTCAACAAAGTAACTGTAATCCAATTACCACTCATTCAAACATTCAAACACTAACTAACCGAATACAGTTACTCATAATTTGTACTCTGATTGCATAACTCTGGTACATGTAATCTGTTACTCCCCAACACTGATGACGACGTACTCAAATATAATCCTTCATTTAAATGTTTACTGGCATTTTAACTAGACTATTGTATGTCATTTACAGCAAAAATACAGGTTAGAAAAACGGGAATATATTAACAACACAGTGAAGATGATGTAGTTATAGTGTAGGTCCGTGTGTGTCCTGCAGGGGTCACTGTTTGCCTACTTTAACACTAGCGCGTGTGAAAAGGTGCAGTGACACTTTCCACCTGCAGATGTCACCCTCGCTCCACTCTGTGAGCTCTGGGCTGCTGCAGAGAGATACATTTAACAAGAGAAAGAAAGAAAGAAAGAAAGAAAGAAAGATAGAAGAAGAGACGAGGATGAGAGTGAACAGGAAAGAAAAGAGAGTGTTTGAGAGAGTTGTGTTCTGCCCAAGTAAAGTGTCTGAGTTCTTGAGCCACCTTCACAAACATGCATTTCAAAATATCTATACAAGGGTCAAAGTGTGTGTTAAAGGGCCCGTGTTGTGTATTTTCTCATTTTCTCTGTGTTCTCATGTCGTTTCCTCATCACAAACACACCTGGACTTGTGTTTTGTTTCATTCACACGTTTAACACACAAACCTGCACATTTAGGCTGAGTTCTTCTCTTAAACTGAAAACACTGTTCCACCTTGTGATGTCATGTGGTGATACAGGAGGCTCACAAGAGACAACTTTGTTGCAATATAAGACAATTAAAAAAAAAGAAAAAAATAATAATAATAAGATGAGACTAACTACCCAGAACTAAACCTGGACTATAACTGGACCAAACCAAGTCCCATCACAAGTCTGACTCAACAGGAGTGATGGGAGAAGATACACTGCACTACTGTTCAGTCAGTACTCTACTCTGAATACTTTCACAAGAGTATTAGTCGAGTATTACAAGTGTAAAATACATTTCTTTGTCTGTTTCTATATTCCTCATCCGACTTGTATTTCAAACAGAACACACTATGTATTCTTTATATGTATTTGTGGTACATGTAAACTGTAAAAGTCCTGCTTAAATACTGAAAAATACTACTCAAGTAAGAGTAACTATAAAAAGTAGCTGTCTATATTGCCCGATTTGTAATTTGAAGTGAATTATTATTATTAAGTGAGTTATCTGAAGAAGAAAACATGAAATAAGTCACAAAATCTGATATTTTGAAAGGACAGACACAAAAATGAGACAAACTAAATCAAATGTGAAAGAGCTGCAAGAAACACAAATGTTCAAATCAGTTCAGATTGTCACGTAAAACTTTTGTGACTTTAGACTCACAGTGGAAGAGGAAGGACAGATATTTAAATAAGAGTACTGTGACACTGTATATATATATATATATATATATATATATATATATATATATATATATATATATATATATATATATATATATATATATATATATATAGTACAGTACAGTGTAATAGTACTCTTACTTAAACTATAACATATTACTCATGTAAGATTACTATTACACTGTACAATATATTATATATGTAAGAGTACTGTTACACCATACATCATATTACTCAAGTACACTGGGAAAAAAACAATATCTAAACAAAAATGACTTAAATTAAGAACATTTGACTTTATTTGAGTCAATTCCACTTGACAAGTCAAATGATCTGCCAATGGAATGAGTGTCTTTTTCTTAATTAAAACAACATTCAGTGTCGTTTCTTATTTAAAGTGCAACAAGTTGTTGTTTTTTTCTTCTTCTTTTTAAGTGTAGACAGTTGTATTTTCATGTTTTAAATACAAAAAGTCTTGTTCCACTGACAGATCATTTGACTTGTCAAGTGAAATTTACTCAAATCATGATAAAACTTTAATTCAAATCATCTTAACTTGACTAGATTTTGCATTTTTACCTTGTAAGAGTACTATTACACTGTACATGATACTACTCGAGTAAGAGTACTATTACACTGTACATGATACTACTCGAGTAAGAGTACTATTACACTGTACATGATACTACTCGAGTAAGAGTACTATTACACTGTACATGATACTACTGGAGTAAGAGTACTATTACACTGTACATGATACTACTCGAGTAAGAGTACTATTACACTGTACATGATACTACTGGAGTAAGAGTACTATTACACTGTACATGATACTACTCAGGTAAGAGTACTATTACACTGTACATGATACTACTCGAGTAAGAGTACTATTACACTGTACATGATATTACTCAGGTAATAGTACTGTGACACTGTACATGATACTACTTGGGTAAGAGTACTATTACACTGTACATGATACTACTCGAGTAAGAGTACTATTACACTGTACATGATACTACTCAGTAAGAGTACTATTACACTGTACATGATACTACTCAGAGTAAGAGTACTATTACACTGTACATGATACTACTCAGGTAAGAGTACTATTACACTGTACATGATACTACTCGAGTAAGAGTACTATTACACTGTACATGATACTACTCAGTAAGAGTACTATTACACTGTACATGATACTACTCAGGTAAGAGTACTATTACACTGTACATGATACTACTCAGAGTAAGAGTACTATTACACTGTACATGATACTACTCGAGTAAGAGTACTATTACACTGTACATGATACTACTGGAGTAAGAGTACTATTACACTGTACATGATACTACTGGAGTAAGAGTACTGTTACACTGTACATGATACTACTCAGGTAAGAGTACTATTACACTGTACATGATACTACTCAGTAAGAGTACTATTACACTGTACATGATACTACTGGAGTAAGAGTACTATTACACTGTACATGATACTACTGGAGTAAGAGTACTATTACACTGTACATGATACTACTGGAGTAAGAGTACTATTACACTGTACATGATACTACTGGAGTAAGAGTACTATTACACTGTACATGATACTACTGGAGTAAGAGTACTATTTACACTGTACATGATACTACTGAGTAAGAGTACTATTACACTGTACATGATACTACTGGAGTAAGAGTACTATTACACTGTACATGATACTACTCGAGTAAGAGTACTATTACACTGTACATGATACTACTGGAGTAAGAGTACTATTACACTGTACTACATGATACTACTGGAGTAAGAGTACTATTACACTGTACATGATACTACTGGAGTAAGAGTACTATTACACTGTACATGATACTACTCGAGTAAGAGTACTATTACACTGTACATGATACTACTCGAGTAAGAGTACTATTACACTGTACATGATATTACTCGGGTAATAGTACTGTGACACTGTACATGATATTACTCGAGTAAAAGTACTATTACACAGTACATGACATGACTCGCTCTCGGTCCCCGCGCCCTCCTCAGTGCAGTGAAATAGACTGAAAGGCTTGATGACGTTGTGATGTTTTATTAGTGCTCGGTGTGCGGCGCACACTGTACCACAGACACATGTGTATACTCAGATTACTGCAGGATATCATAGACAGATACAAAAGAATGACAATACAAAACAGCACAGCCAATGTCGTCTGCTCTCAAAGTTCATCCACCTGAGCCACATGCTCCATAGAAAAATAGACTCTATATACACTTTTATAAATATACGTTTACAAATGTATTTTTAAAATACAAAGATAAATACAGTCACAGAGTGTACATTGTGTACAAAACAACAATTACAAACAGTTTTTGGATAGTAGCATTCACAAAACACATTACATCAGAAATGCAACTTTATCGACAATTGCAGGTCACATTTGAGTCTTTCTCCGCGAGGCCCCGCCCTCTCTCATGGATTTACTTCAAACATCTTCATTCCAACATGGAGTCTGTGCTGTTAGTGTTACTCACAGTGCTTTAAAAGAGTCTGCTGCATTCATGTGCCCTCCTCAAAGTAGAACAGTCACAGTGTGTCCAGCAGGGGGCACCAGGACTGACTGGGGTCATACTAAAGGGGAGGACATGTCTCTAAGTGGTTTGGTTAAGTTTAAAAACACATTCAGAGTCATTGTCTATGCTATTTAATAAAATAGATATGAACAAAAGAATTATAAATAACTTATAAATAACATTCAAAACAATCACGTCTGCAAATAAAGATTATACATCAAATAATAAATGATTATCTAACACAATAAGAACGCTGGGGAGTACGGGGGCACCTGAATGCAGCATCAGCTCTGACACAGCACTAAATATCATTTCATAAACATATTAACCTTTATTCTTTAAAGTTTTAATTGAAAACCCATGAGGCGGACACGCTCGACATCTGTACTCAGTCTCATCCTCTCACTAACGTAGAGGAGCATTTAGAAGTGTGGATATGGGCGGGGCTAGTTCTGCTGGGGGCGGGGCCAGTGGCTCCTGGGTGGGGCTAGCTCTGGCGCACGTCCTGTAAGAGTTTGTTGATCTCGGCCACCAGCTCGCTGGCGTCCACCAGCTCGTGTCTGCTGTCGCTGCGTTTGCCCTGCAGGTGGCCCAGCACTGAGTCAAAGTCGTCCTCCTCGTAGTTCTCGGGGATCTCCTCCATGGCCGGCAGCCACTTGGCGGGGGGTCCGGGCAGGGGCACGGGGATGGGCACCACAGAGGGGGTGGGGGCGGGCTGCAGAGCGGGGCTCAGAGCCGTGAGCAGGGGCGTGCTGTGGGCCTTGGAGCCGGCGTTGTTCGGGGGGCAGTGTTTGGGCTGGGAGCCCAGCTTGGTGCTGGGTTTGAGGGTGTGGTAGGCCCCGGGCTGGGTGTGGCCCATACTGGGGTTCTGGAAGTGTGTGTTGGCGGCCCAGGCCGCCACCCCCTGCTGGTGCACGGAGGGACTGGCTTTGCCCGGGAGGTGCCCCCTCCTGCGGTCCAGGGACCCGGTCAGAGGCACCCCCACCCCGCTCAGACTGGTGCCCCGCTGGGCCTCGTTCACCTGGACGTAGGCGTCCAGGCCCTGGGGCAGCAGTCTCTGGAACACACTGCTCATCTCCGAGAGCAGAGAGGAAGTACCGCACACGTCCTCGTCCCGAAGAGCCACCGCGTTGCCCTCGCCTCCCTCCTCGCCCTCCTCCCCACTCACATCTTTACCGAAGGTGGAGAAGCTTTGGTTTCGGGGTCCGCTGTCGGTGCAGGGCACAGGGGCCGAGTCCTGGGGCAGGTCTGTGGGCTGGCGAGCCTCCTCTCCGGGGATGTACAAGTTACTCCTGTAGTCAGAGGAGGAGGAGGCGGGGGAGGCCAGGGGGGGCATCCAGCACTGGTCCGAGTGTCCCAGGACCCTGCACTCCTCTGTGCACAGCCTCATGCCTGTGGAGACACACACACACACACACACAGTGAGAAATAATGAAGCACAAGCTGCTGCTCTAAAAGCTCACATTTCTTTCTCTTTCAAGTTGCTCTTTTCAATATTAAATCTTCAAATAGAAAGTCTCAGAAGAATAAATTAGTCAAATCAAATATGCCATCTTAAAGCGTTCATTAGAGCGGCTGCACTTGGCCTGTGCTGGGACTTCATTAGGAGCTCATTATCATGAAAGGAGCATTTATAATACATGTGAGAGCAGATGAAGGCAGCGCGGGGGCACACGGATAAAAGCACCAAAATAAAAGATTTAAGTCGGAGGATTTGTGGTGTACGGGCCGTGTCAGCTCTGTTTGTGACGCGCTCCTGCCGCTGCCTCGGCTCCGTCGCACCACAATCCCCCGTGGAACATTTGTGAAGTTTGAATCAAATCTGACAGGACTGTGACATCATCAAAGCGCGCCGGTCCAGAGCCACAGGAGTGAAGCGACCCTGGTTTGATGTGCTGTCTTATCTGCTCAGAGGGAGGCTGCTCTGTGGGGCTCTGCGGGGCTCTGCGGGGCCCCGGCAGGTTCCTCCTTCTCTGTGCGCAGAACTGGGACGCGCTCTGAACACGGGCCTTATCTGGCTCATCAGATCAGAGTTAAACTGCCCTGGTTCCACTGCGCATCAAAAAGTGAGACTAAACCCCAAAACTAAACTAGATCTTAAAGGGCCACTAAGCACTTTTCTGGTCGGGGGTCCACTACCTGCTTGCCTCTGTAGACACGTTTCTGCATGACCAATTATCTCTTTAGTCTCTTTACATCTCTAAAGCCCAAAATGATGGAGTAAGAAAGCTTTCAGAAATATGCGTGTGCACAGGAGAGAAATTCATGCATATTGGGGAAATCCAGCTGTAGTTGAGCAAAAAATAAATATTTGTAAACTCTTGAATGAGTCCAGTCGTACATAAAATTCGTTGTGTGTATTTTATCCACCAGAGTACGAACTGAAAAGTTAAGATTACACTTTCTTCAGTACAAATATGAATAACCTCAATACTTCACAGACATTATTTACTGAGCACAAGAAATATCGATAGAGATGTCGGACTTTTGCGATGCTTTCGGACTAAACCAGGACTAAACGAGGACTAAATCAGGACTAAACCAGGACTAAACCGGGACTAAACCAGGACAAAACCAAGACTGAACTAGGACTAAACCAACACTAAACCAGGACTAAACCAGGACTAAACGAGGACTAAATCAGGACTGAACCAGGACTAAACCAAGACTGAACCAGGACTAAACCAAGACTAAACCAGGATTAAACCAACACTAAACCAGGACTAAACCAGAATTAAACCAAGACTAAACCAGGACTAAACCAGGACTAAACCAACACTAAACCAAGACTAAACCAGGACTAAACCAGGACTGAACCAGGACTGAACCAAGACTAAACCAGGACTAAACCAGGACTAAATCAGGACTAAACCAATTTTCATTTTGTGATTGTAATTCTCGATGTCGCAACTTTTCAATTGTATTCTGATGGATAAAATACACACTATACTTTTTATGTACGACTGGACTCATTGGAGAGTTTACGAATATTTATTTTATGCTCAACTACAGACAAATATGCACAGATTTCTCTCCTATGCACACAAATATTTCTGAAAGCTTTCTTACTCCATAGAAAATGCTCTGTTCCACCTTGTGATGTCATGCAGTGGTAGTTCTCAAGTCAAAATCTACCTTTTACATTTTATTCAAGATCAGCAATTCCAGGATTGAAATGCTCCAAATGATTCTAGTGAAGGTGTATGGAGTTTAAAAACACAATGGAGCACTTTCTGTATTACCACATGACATCACAAAGTGGTGTTTTCTGCAACTCCAGATGTGTTATTATCAAACTGTCTCAGACACTAGTGTAATGTGAGCCCTTTAAACAAATGGTCTGCGGGTTTGAGCGCCACCTTGGACGGAGACAGGTGACGCGTCGCCGGCCCCTCCCCCCGCTCCCCCCGTCCCTGATCTGGCGCGTAATGACGGGCTGTGGCTAAGCGCTGGTGGGAGGCAGAGGCAGCGGCAGAAAGGTGAGCACCAGATGTAATTACGCTCTCCAGGCTTTAATCAACCGCGCAATCTGGAGTCCCGTCGCCCCGGCAACCGCTCGGCACATGGCAATTAAGCGGCTCCTTTTCATCAGAGCGGAGTTTGCGGAGTGACAGCTAAAAAGGTAGAGAGCGCAAAGTGCCTAACGAGCCCTGCGCCGACGCCAACACCGGGGCTGTAATTGGAGCGCGCCGCGGTGACGAGAGATGCCACAGACTCTTCAGCTGGACACCTGCACGGTCTGGAGCTGTGGAGGGTTTCACAGCCAATCCCTGATCAGAATATGAAGCAGCCAGACTCCACACACGCACACACACACACACACACACACACATCAGTCTGCCCGGAGACAAAGCGCGGGCCCTCACTACACCAGGGAGAGGCTCAGGGTACACTGTGAATGTGTCAGCCATGTTTCTGCGTCTCTATTTGAGCAGGCGAGGAGGAGGAGGAGGAGGTGGGCAGTAGTTTGGTGACATCATGGTACGATTACGCACAATAACGCTCTGCAGTTGTGTTTTGTTTCATTCACGTGTTTGATTAAATCTTTATTATTCGTCTGTCTACATTTCCAAACCTCAAACCGTTCTGTTCCATCAAGTTGTCGTTTTGAAATGAACGGCTCCTTTTACCTTCAGTTTAGTAGAAATGGGCAACTCCAGGGTTGAAATGATCCAAATGATGTTAGTGAAAGTGTGTGGAGCACTTCCTGAATCTGTGTGTCATTCGTTGATTTGTTTTTTCAGTATAAAACCAAAAATAAGAAAATGAAAAAAACAACAGTTTTCTTCATTATTTGTCTCCAAAACCAAAATGAAAAAACGGATAATGATTTTATTTTTTTTTTTTTTTCAGTTTTCGAATTTGTGTTTAAATGAAAAATGGAAAAAATGTTTTCCCGTTTTCCCGTGACTTCCGTGACTGTGATGTCGGACTTCTGCACCACATACGGACTGAACCAGGACTGATCCAGGTCCAGGACCAGATCAGGACCAGACCGAGAGACCGAGACCAGACGGGGACCAGACTGAGACTGAGACCGGGACTAGACCGGGACCAGAACGGAGGCTCAGAGCCCACGGCAGGGCCAGCGCTCAAAGCTCGGGGTCCACTCTAGTCCCGGCCTGGTCTTGGTCTGGTCCCGGTCTGGTCCTGGTCTGGTCCTGGGCCTGGATCAGTCCTGGTTCAGTCCGTATGCAGTGAAAAAGTCCAACATCGCAGTCACAGAAGTCATGTAAACGGGAAACGGCTGTTATCCGTTTGCTCCTTTTTTCATTTAAACACAAAATCAAAAACTGAAAAAACGAATCATTATCTGTTTTTTTCATTTTGGTTTTGGAGACAAATAATGAAGAAAACTGTTTTTTTTTTTCATTTTCTTATTTTTGGTTTTATTTTGAAAAACGAATGAACGAACGACACAAGGAGTTTCCTGTATTACCAACTGAGCCACTCAGTCAAATCCAACATCAGAAATCTTGGAGTGCTGTTGGACAAATCAGTGTCTTTGGATGGTCACTGCACCTAAACGGTTAAAAAGTGTTTTTATCAGCTACGGAACATCACTAAACTGAAACCATTTTAATGAAATGCTGATCCTGAAATGATTGTTTACTCTTTTATTTCATCTTGTTTAGATTTTTGTAATTCTCTTTTTACTTGTTTTAGTTCTTCTACACTTACAAAACGCGGCTGAAACGTTTTTAACAGGAGCTACAGGTGAACACACGTCACGCCAATTTCATCTTCAGTGCACTGGCTTCCTTGTAAGTTCCGTGTTGATTTTAGAATCTTGGCTTTAACTTACCGAGCTTTAAATGGACAGGGCTCCAGTAGACCCGGTTTAAAACTCAGGGGGACGTACGCTTTCAGGCTGTGGCCCCCAGATTATGGAATGCCCTACCCCAAGCCTTTCGTATACTCTTTTAAAAAGCAGCTCAAGACACGGCTTTTTAGTCTACGTTTATATGATGACTTAACTTTTTATTCCACTTTTAGACGAGCGTTTTCGGAAGGAAATCTGCGTGCATACGGTGACGCAAAAGTGTGTGGAGTTCGACTGGGTGCGTGCCAGGAGGCTCTGTGGTGACTCGAGGAGGTGATATATGTGACGTAAACGTGTACGAGATGGGGTCAGCCTTATCATCAGAAGAGCCTCTAGTCAGAAAATCCATGTTCAGGTCGTGTTACAAAATGTTACAAATGAAATCGTTTTTCAAGTTTTAAATATTTTAAAAAGTAAATATTAAAAGTCATAAATATATTAAACTCTTAAAATACAGCAAAAATGAGGAAATAATGATTTGGGTGGAAATGGGTGTCTTAAGTGTAACAGGGTTAATAATTGTCTGATTTTCAGGCAACAACTTGCAAAATGTTCAGTAATTTGAGCTCTACAACCTTTATTTTAAATCTTTTTCTTTTAATGTAGCATTGGTGGGTTTGTAAACCAACAAATTAAGTAACACTGGCCTTAGCTAATGCTGTTATGCATGATTATGTGTTTTCCTGTCAGTATCTCTAAAAATGTTAATGTTGCAGCCATTTTTATTGGTAAACATCCAAAAGTTTACTAATTCTTCCCTGATATCCAGGGATTATTCCCTGTCGCTTTCATCAAATATACATTCAATTGTTCAAGAGAAATGTTGCTGACAAACCAATAGAAGAGGGAATGATTTTCTGACTAGTGGACCTTCTGACTACAGGGCCTTCTGACTACAGGCCTTCTGACTAGTGGGCTTTCTGACTAGGGGGCCTTCTGATGATAAGGGTGTAACCGTACGCGACGTGAGCAGATCTGAGCAGAGTTTTACGTCTTGGGCAGTGTAGATGGAAACACTACGGCGGAGCGTATTCAACTTTTCCAATTTGGAAGCTGTTTTCAGATTTTTGCTTTTTTAAGCCCCAAAAACGCCATCATGAAAAGCACTTCTGATAAAATATGTTGTCGTTTTTACCTGCAAGCATTTTCATGTAAACAGGCTTTAGACAAGCTTCTAGCTGACTGTGTAATTCCTCAGTTCTTGTTTATGTTGTTCATTGTACTGTAAAGCTGTTTGTGATTTTATTTTTTTTTTTTTTTTTTAATCTGTGAAAGGTGCTCGATAAATAAAGGCTTACTTACTTACCACACGACATCCCAAAGTGGAACTGAGTGTGAGTGAAACAAAACACAACTCTAACTATGTTTGTGATGAAGAATCAACATTATAACATAAGAATAAGAATAATATGGGTCTTTTTTTTACTTTTACTTGCTAATTAGGAGACATAGATTTAGTTTAGTAGTAGTAGTAGTAGTAGTAGTAGTAGTAGTAGGGGCCCTTCATGAAGACTGTTATGTGACTGTAATGTATTAGTAGTAGTATTGTGTAGGGTATCAGTAGTAGTAGTAGTAGTAGTAGTAGTAGTGTGTAGTGTAGTATAGTAGTAGTAGTAGTAGTAGTAGTAGTAGTAGTAGTAGTGTAGTAGTAGTAGTAGTAGTAGTAGTAGTAGTAGTAGTAGTAGTAGTAGTAGTAGTAGTAGTAGTAGTAGTAGTAGTAGTGTAGTAGTAGTAGTAGTGTAGTAGTAGTGTAGTAGTAGTAGTAGTAGTAGTAGTGTAGTAGTAGTAGTAGTAGTAGTAGTAGTAGTAGTAGTAGTAGTAGTAGTAGTAGTAGTAGTAGTAGTAGTAGTAGTAGTAGTAGTAGTAGTAGTAGTAGTAGTAGTAGTAGTAGTAGTAGTAGTAGTAGTAGTAGTAGTAGTAGTAGTAGTAGTAGTAGTAGTAGTAGTAGTAGTAGTAGTAGTAGTAGTAGTAGTAGTAGTAGTAGTAGTAGTAGTAGTAGTAGTAGTAGTAGTAGTAGTAGTAGTAGTAGTAGTAGTAGTAGTAGTAGTAGTAGTGTAGTAGTAGTAGTAGTAGTAGTAGTAGTAGTAGTGTAGTAGTAGTAGTAGTAGTAGTAGTAGTAGTAGTAGTACTGGTATTGTGTAGTGTAGACCACCTGCTTGTGTCCATGTACTTATGGTATTAAAGTTATCTCCTGAGAGACAAGCAGGTGGCGCCACCAGACCATGTACCAGGTGAGCTCTGTGGAGCGGCGGGGGCGGGGGGGGCGGGGGGGTCCGTACCTGCATGTGGCCTGTGGGGTCCGTCGTGCCCGTAGGCCTCGGTGAAGCCCTCCCCGAGCAGCCTCTCCATGGGCGACTCTCGGCCCGGCTCGTAGTCACTGTCCCCGGCCTCGCTGTCCCCGCGCCCGCTGTCCTTCAGGCTGAACTTGTCCATCTCGTTCAGGGCGTACCTGCACACACACACACACACACACACACACACACACACGTTAGCACACACACGTTAGCACACACACGGGGCTTCACGGGGGGCGGGCTGGTGGGGGGGTGAGGTTTACCCAGGGCCCTGTGCAGCAAGGGGCCCCTCACGAAGACTGTTATGTGCATTTTTCATCAGGCAACATGAGAGTTTACCCTGGTTTAGTCCTCCTTTAGTCCTGCTTTAGTCCTGGTTTTGTCCTGGTTTAGTCCTGCTTTAGTCCTGATTTAGACCTGGTTTAGACCTGGTTCAGACCTGGTTTAGTCCTGGCATAGACCTGGTTTAGTCTCGTAGTAGTCCTGGTTTAGACCTTTAGTCCTGCTTTAGTCCTGGTTTAGACCTGGTTTAGACCTGCTTTAGTCCTGCTTTAGTCCTGGTTTAGACCTGGTTTAGTCTGGTTTAGACCTGGTTCAGACCTGGTTTTGTCCTGGCATAGACCTGGTTTAGTCTCGTAGTAGTCCTGGTTTAGACCTGCTTTAGACTGCTTTAGTCCTGCTTTAGTCCTGGTTTAGACCTGGTTTAGACCTGCTTTTAGTCCTGGTTTAGTAGTCCTGGTTTAGACCTGGTTTAGACCTGGTTTAGACCTGCTTTAGTCCTGCTTTAGTCCTGGTTTAGTCCTGCTTTAGTCCTGATTTAGACCTGGTTTAGACCTGGTTCAGACCTGGTTTAGTCCTGGCATAGACCTGGTTTAGTCTCGTAGTAGTCCTGGTTTAGACCTGCTTTAGTCCTGCTTTAGTCCTGGTTTAGACCTGGTTTAGACCTGCTTTAGTCCTGCTTTAGTCCTGGTTTAGACATGGTTTAGTCCTGGTTTAGACCTGGTTTAGACCTGGTTTAGTCCTGGCATAGACCTGGTTTAGTCTCGTAGTAGTCCTGGTTTAGACCTGGTTTAGACCTGCTTTAGTCCTGCTTTAGTCCTGGTTTAGACCTGGTTTAGACCTGCTTTAGTCCTGCTTTAGTCCTGGTTTAGACATGGTTTAGTCCTGGTTTAGACCTGGTTTAGACCTGGTTTAGACCTGGTTAGACCTGGTATAGACCTGGTTTAGTCCTGCTTTAGTTGTGGTTGAGTCCTGTTTTAGTCCAGGTTTAGTCCTGGTTTAGACCTGGTTTAGTCCTTGTTTAGACCTGGTTTAGACCTGGTTTAGTCCTGGTTTAGTCCTGGTTTAGACCTGGTTTAGACCTGGTTTAGTCCTGCTTTAGTCGTGGTTTAGACCTGGTTTAGACCTGGTTTAGTCCTGCTTTAGTCATGGTTTAGTCCTGCTTTAGTCGTGGTTTAGACCTGGTTTAGACCTGGTTTAGTCCTGCTTTAGTCGTGGTTTAGACCTGGTTTAGACCTGGTTTACCTGGTTTAGTCCTGCTTTAGTCGTGGTTTAGACCTGGTTTAGACCTGGTTTAGACCTAGACCTGGTTTAGACCTGGTTTAGTCCTGCTTTAGTCGTGGTTTAGACCTGGTTTAGACCTGGTTTAGTCTTATCCTCGTCTTGTGTTAGTCCTGGTTTAGCAGCGGGGCCCCATCAGCCTGTTTAGTACCCGGGGCCCGGAGTCTGGAGCTGCGGCCCTGTTCATCTTATCAGAGCAGAGCAGCAGACACGGAGCACAGAGGGTTTTACATACGATTATGCAAATGTGTGAAGGAGCGCGTGCAACTCTCACTGTTTACTCTGCTCTCCTGCTTCTCAAAGTGTGGGCCGCAGGTCACTGGGGCTATTAGAGGCTAGGACTGGTTTAGACCTGGTTCTGACCTACTTTAGACCTGGTTTAGACCTGGTTTGGACCTGGTTTGACCTGGTTTAGTCGTGTGATAGGCCTGATTTAGAACGGATTTAGTTTTGTGGTAATCCTCCTAATTTGGAACTGATTTGGTCTTGTGGTTTAGAACTGGTAAAATATTGTGGTAGTCCTGGTTTTGTTCTGGTTTAGTCCTGGTTTAGTCCTGGTCTAGTCCTGGTTTAGTCCTGGTTTAGTCCTGGTCTAGTCCTGGTTTTGTTCTGGTTTAGTCCTGGTTTAATCCTGATTTAGCCCTAGTTTAGTCCTGGTTTAGTCCTGGTCTAGACCTGGATTTGTCCTGGTTGAGTACTGGTTTAGTCCTGGTTTAGTTCTGATTTAGACCTGGTTTAGACCTGGTTTAGTCCTGGTTTAGATCTTGTTTAGTCCTGGTTTAGTCTTGTGTGTAGTTTTGTGTGGGAGCTGTTCGATTTATGTAGGAGCTGGTCATCTCGTGTGTAGTTGTGTGTAGTTGTGTGTAGTTGTGTGTAGTTGTGTGTAGGAGCTGGTCGTCGTGTGCAGGAGCTGATCGTCTTGTGTGTAGTTGTGTGTAGTTGTGCGTAGTTCTGTGTAGTTGTGTGTAGGCGCTGGTCTTTTGTGTGTAGTTGTGTGTAGGAGCTGATCGTCTCGTGTGTAGTTTTGTGTAGTCGTGTGTAGTCGTGTGTAGTCGTGTGTAGTTTTGTGTAGTCGTGTGTAGTCGTGTGTAGTCGTGTGTAGTCGTGTGTAGTCGTGTGTAGTTTTGTGTAGTTTTGTGTAGTTGTGTGTAGTCGTGTGTGTAGTCGTGTGTGTAGTTTTGTGTAGTTTTGTGTGTAGTTGTGTGTGTAGTCGTGTGTAGTCGTGTGTAGTTTTGTGTAGTTGTGTGTAGTTTTGTGTAGTCGTGTGTAGTTGTGTGTAGTTGTGTGTAGTCGTGTGTAGTCGTGTGTAGTTTTGTGTGTAGTCGTGTGTAGTCGTGTGTAGTCGTGTGTGTAGTTTTGTGTAGTCGTGTGTGTAGTTTTGTGTAGTCGTGTGTAGTGTGTAGTTGTGTGTAGTCGTGTGTAGTTTTGTGTAGTCGTGTGTAGTTTTGTGTAGTCGTGTGTAGTCGTGTGTAGTTGTGTTGTAGTCGTGTGTGTAGTCGTGTGTAGTCGTGTGTAGTCGTGTGTAGTCGTGTGTAGTCGTGTGTAGTTGTGTGTAGTCGTGTGTAGTCGTGTGTAGTTTTGTGTAGTCGTGTGTAGTCGTGTGTAGTTGTGTGTAGTTGTGTGTAGTCGTGTGTAGTTGTGTGTAGTTGTGTGTAGTTTTGTGTAGTCGTGTGTAGTTTTGTGTAGTCGTGTGTAGTCGTGTGTAGTCGTGTGTAGTTGTGTGTAGTTGTGTGTAGTTTTGTGTAGTTGTGTGTAGTCGTGTGTAGTTGTGTGTAGTCGCGTGTAGTTGTGTGTAGTCGTGTGTAGTTTTGTGTAGTTGTGTGTAGTCGTGTGTAGTCGTGTGTAGTTGTGTAGTCGTGTGTAGTCGTGTGTAGTCGTGTGTAGTAGTTGTGTGTAGTTTTGTGTAGTTGTGTGTAGTTGCCGGTCGTCTCGTGTGCGTTCTTACCTGTAGCTGCGCGTGTACTTGTTGCCGCGGAAACTCGGCCGGGGCTGGTACTGGCCCTGATGGAGCATGGACAGAAGCTGTGAGACTTGCTACAGTCCAGAAACAGACACACAAACACAGGGACAAAAAATAAAGGGAGAAAATGAGGAGGGGATGAATGGAGCACACGGCACACTGCACACTGCACACTGCACACGACAATGGGGGGAGGGTGGTGTGAGCATGACACAGCAAACGGCAACTCAAAACACACAAAAAACATGCACACAAATACTACAAATACTACAATACTGCCAACTCTGCTTCATCGGTGCTGCTACTTCTGCCACAATAACACATTTTGCCACAGAGAAATATTGCAAAAGATAATGAAACTACTTAAATGTATTCAAGTAAACAAATAAACTGTACAAGTGATAAACATTAAACCCCAAAATATATGTTTGAGCTTTTGATGAGTCAGTGTAGGAATTACTCTGACAGGCCTAAGTCCTGGTATTTTAAATCAGTGCATGTGACTAAATCTTGTGGTGGTCCTGGTTTAGACCTGGTTTAGACCTGGTAGAGTCCTGGTTTAGTCCTGGTTTAGTCCTTCTTTAGACCTGATTTAGTCCTGGTTTAGACCTGGTTTAGTCCTGGTTTAGACCTGGTTTAGTCCTGGTTTAGACCTGGTAGAGTCCTGGTTGAGTCTTGGTTTAGACCTGGTTTAGTCCTGGTTGAGTCCTGGTTGAGTCCTGGTTTAGTCCTGGTTTAGACCTGGTTTAGACCTGGTTTAGACCTGGTAGAGTCCTGGTTTAGTCCTGGTTTAGTCCTTCTTTAGACCTGGTTTAGACCTGGTAGAGTCCTGATTTAGTCCTGGTTTAGACCTGGTTTAGACCTGGTAGAGTCCTGGTTTAGTCCTTCTTTAGACCTGGTTTAGACCTGGTTTAGACCTGGTAGAGTCCTGATTTAGTCCTGGTTTAGTCCTGGTTTAGACCTGGTTTAGTCCTGGTTTAGACCTGGTTTAGACCTGGTTTAGTCCTGGTTTAGACCTGGTTTAGACCTGGTTTAGACCTGGTTTAGTCCTGGATTAGACCTGGTAGAGTCCTGGTTGAGTCCTGGTTTAGTCCTGGTTTAGTCCTTCTTTAGACCTGGTTTAGACCTGGTTTAGACCTGGTAGAGTCCTGATTTAGTCCTGGTTTAGACCTGGTTTAGTCTTGGTTTAGTCCTGGTTTAGACCTGGTTTAGACCTGGTTTAGACCTGGTTTAGTCCTGGATTAGACCTGGTAGAATCCTGGTTGAGTCTTGGTTTAGACCTGGTTTAGACCTGGTTGAAACCTGGTTTAGTCGTTGAGTTGTTTCGTGTGTAGTTGTGTGTAGGAGCTGGTCGTCTTGTGTGTAGTTGTGTGTAGGAGCTGGTCGTCTTTGTGTGTAGTTGTGTGTAGTTGTGTGTAGTTGTGTGTAGGAGCTGGTCGTCTTGTGTGTAGTTGTGTGTAGTTGTGTGTAGTTGTGTGTAGTGTAGTTGTGTGTAGTTGTGTGTAGGAGCTGGTCGTCTTGTGTGTAGTTGTGTGTAGTTGTGTGTAGGAGCTGGTCGTCTTGTGTGTAATTGTGTATTTTATAAATCAGTGCATGTGACTGTTTGGAGGATTTTTGGGAAGCAAAACAAAACAAGTGAGTTTGGAATTGACCAAATTTGGATTTCTCAAAATGGCTTCCCTTCAACTGTGAACATGCAGCCTGAGTTCTCGTGCTGCCAGTCTATGTTGTGTTGTAGTAAACAAAACACGTCACTGTCAACACGTTATGATCTAGAGACTCATCACAGTGTTTTGTTCCTGTTCAGATCTTCTGCGTGCAGTGTTCAAGCTCAGAATAATCCATCTTAAATGTTTTCTTACCTCCACCGGGGGCGTGGCGTGGGCCAACTCCAGAGCGAAGTTCTCCGGCACGTGGTTGGAGGAGATGGTGACCAGGCTGTTGAGGGACTGTCGGCTGTGATGGCTCTGGCGGCTCCCCAGGGTGCCGCGGTCGGGTATGGGCGAGGCGGAGGGGGAGCGTGGGTGGGCTCTGACGGGCAGGGTGCCGTTGACCGTGGGCACCAGGGTGATGTCCGTCTTGTGGATCTGCCGGGCCGGTTTCTTGGGGTGGTTCTGGTAGCTGCTCTCAGCCATGCGGCAGTTGTAGTTGTGGCGGGGGTCCTTCTTCTCGCGGCTGCACCGGGCTGTGGCGAACATGATCATGACCACGAGCAGCAGAGCGCACACGGCCACCAGAGAGATGATGATGATGAGGGACAGGTCCATAGAGGTCTGCCCGGAGCCCGTGGGGTAGAGCGGGGACAGCACCGCCATGGTCTCCTGCAGCCCCAGCCTAAGCAGCGCCCCTGTGGTGAGCCTGGCCGTGCCCCTGTCCTGGACCTCCACCCGGATCTCCACCACGTCCCGGGTGACCTGCTCCAGGCTGGCGTTGGTGCGGAGCTCACAGCGACGGGGGTCCATGACGAACAGCCCCTCCTCGTTGCCGGACACGATGGAGCAGCTGAGCTCTCCGTTGGCGCCCGCGTCCCGGTCGCTCACCTTCATGGCGGTGACGAGCTGACCCGGCGAGGCGTATCTCCACACTGCCAGCTCGGCCGTGTGGTTCCTGAGGGCAGGGGACAGGATGACCGGGGCGTTATCGTTCTCGTCCAGAACAGTGAGGAGCACGGTGGTGTTGGTGGACAGAGGGGGGTTCCCTCCGTCCTTGGCCTGCACGGTGAAGGCGATACGGCTCACGTCCTCATGGTCAAAGCTCCTCAGAGCGTAGATGGCTCCATTGGAGGGGTCAATGGTGACGTAGGTGGAGATGGGACTTCCCTGGATGAGCACATCGATAACACTGTAGGTCACCTGTCCGTTTGTCCCTAAGTCTGGGTCTGAGGCCACCACAGTCATGAGGTAGGCTCCTGGAGAGTTGTTCTCTGACTTGAACACCTCGTATCTGTTCTTCTCAAAGTGCGGGGGGTTATCGTTCTCGTCCAGCACCTGCACAGTGAAGTGTTTGATGGTGGACAGACTGGGGGAGCCCCTGTCCTCCGCGATCACCGTCAGGCTGTACTCGGACCTCTTCTCTCGGTCCAAAGACACGTTGGTGAGGATCATATAGTTCTTCTCGTAGGTCTTCTGGAGCCTGAAGTGTCCGTGCCCGTGGAGCCTGCACACCACTTCCCCGTTCAGCCCCGCGTCACTGTCATCCACCCGGACCAGCGCGATGAACGTGTCCACGGGAGCGCCCTCCGAGATGTACGCCACCTCCTCCTTCCCCGGGGTCATCAGGTTTATGTTGATCTCCGGTTTGTTGTCGTTCACGTCCGCGACTTTCACCACAATTTTGCACAACCCCGGGATGGAGTTGGGTCCCATGTCCTGCGCCTGCACGTCCAGCTCATAGGACGAAGCGGTTTCATAGTCCACCTTTTTGATCAGAGTGATGTGTCCTGTCTCGGGGTTGATTTTAAACGTCTCCAGGATCTTCGGGGACACGTGACTGCTGAACGAGTAGACGATCTTCCCGTTCGTGCCCTCGTCTGGGTCCGTAGCGTTGAGGTCAATGATTAGCGTCCCGAGGGGGGAGTTCTCCAGCAAGTTCACGACGTAAGCCTGCTCCTCGAAAGCGGGACTGTTATCGTTGGAGTCGGAGATGCTGATTTTGAGCAGAGTCGATCCGGACTTGGGGGGCACGCCGTTGTCCGAGGCCGTGAGGAGCAGCTGGTACCCGGGCTGCGACTCCCGGTCCAGCTCCCTCATCACCACCAGCTCCGCGTACTTGGCGCCGTCCGTCCGCGTCCGCACCTCGATCTTGAAGAAGTTGTTGGGCGCCAGGGAGTAGGTGTGCAGCGCGTTGTCCCCCACGTCCGCGTCCACGGCGCCGTCCAGCGGCACGCGCGTGCCCACCGACGCGCTCTCGGAGATCTCGATGGGCACGATGGCGCGGGAGAAGTGCGGGGAGTTGTCGTTAATGTCCAGCACCTCCACCTCCACGTGGAACAGCTGCAGGTACTCCGTGGGCAGCGTCACCACGTCGAACTCGATGGTGCAGTTGAGGTTTTTCTCGCACAGCTTTTCGCGGTCGATTTTGGCACCGATGCTGATCTCCCCGTCCTCCTCTCTCACCGACAGAAACTGCGTGCTCCCTCTTTGCATGGCACGGAAACGAAAGCTCAGCGAACCGGGCAGTTTAGCCAAGACCCCAGCAACATCCTCCTTTAAGCGCGCGATCACGGTGCCCACCCTCTGCTCCTCGTAAACTTTATATTTCAAAGTCTTCCCGTGCGCCACTCCGCACACAACCGCCGCGAGGAGCAGCAGTTTGCACAAAAACATATCTCCTCTGGGTTGCTTCGGTGTTGCGCCCATCTTCTTCTCTTCTCTTCGCGGCTCCCAGACGGTCCGATCTTCTCACAAGTCTGGCATCGTCACGTTACTCCACTCCGCGTCTCCTTTCAAACCCAGCAACAAACAAACAAAAAGCACTCACTACCAAATAAATATGAAATAAATAAATAATCTAACTAAAAGGTCCAGTCTTGAGCGGCAGACGGTTGCTCCTCTCCGCGTACGCTGCCGCCTGCTCGTGCGCTGAGCGAGAGTGCGTCTGGAGGAAGAAAAGGCGCTGCTTTCTCCAGCTCTTTGTCGCGCGCGGAGAGAGAGGGAGAGAGAGAGAGAGAGAGAGAGATCCGAGGGGGAAGGGGTCTCTCCAGCACCCCCCCTCCCTCTCTCCCCTTCTCCCTTTACAAAAAAAAAAAAACACCTCCTCCTCCTCCTCCTCCTCTCCAGAACGCGCCGGGAGCGGGGGGCAGAAGGCGCACGCAGGGAGCGACACCCCGAGCGGCTCCGGCTCAAAGCGTGGCGCAACAATGGAGTGATTTGGGTCCGAGGTTTGACCCGAGGCAGACGCGCATTGTTACGGCTTTGAATCCGCAGCGTGTGCCGACGTCGTGTCTCCTTTGTGCCGCGCGTAAAAAGTTTCAATCCTATAGTTTGATCATCGCCAAGTGGAACAGCGATGTTGCCAGCCCCCGCTGACAAAACGACTAAACAAAAGAGAAAAGTCTAACCGGAGAACGGCTTCACAAAGACACGAGTCCACATGTTGATTTTTCTGTGTGGCACAAGGAAGTACAAGAGTAACGTTACTTCACAGTAATATTGCTCAAATAGCAGTGTTGGGAAGGTTACAGATCACATACCCCAAAATGTAGTTTGGAATGGAATCCATTAAATTACTTAATATGAGTAACGTAATCTGAATACTTTGGATTACTTGATTTACTGTAGAGAAACAAAGACCAGGAAATCTTCACATAAGATGTTTTGTCTGATAAAAGAAAATAAAAAGTCCAGACTTTACTTAAACAAATTAAACATATTATTGATAGAAGAGGAGCATGGTTTAGTCCTGCTAAATCCTGTTTTAGACCTGGTTTAGTCCTGGTTTTAGACCTGGTTTTAGTCCTGGTTTTAGTCCTGGTTTTAGTCCTGGTTTTAGACTTGGTTTTAGTCCTGGTTTTAGTCCTGGTTTTAGTCCTGGTTTTAGACTTGGTTTTAGACCTGGTTTTAGACCTGGTTTAGTCCTGGTTTTAGTCCTGGTTTTAGTCCTGGTTTAGACCTGGTTTAAGATTTAGTCTGATTTAGTGTCCGGCAATGAGTGGAATTACCGAGATAAAAAAAAAAAAAAAAGGGATATAGCCCAAAATGTGAAAACTGAAAAATACCACAGTGTAATCCATTTATTTCAACAAAGTAACTGTAATCCATTTACCATTCACTTAAACAGTAACTGTAACTGAATACAGTTACTCATAATTTGTACTCTGATTACGTAACTCTGGTACATGTAATCTATTACTCCCCAACACTGACAATAGAAGTACAAAGTCGTAGTCCAAGAAATGACTCAGGTACGACAGGGAACTTCCCACTCAAGTAAGACAAACTTTAAGGTGGACTGTGTCACTTTTTGGTCTTGTTTCTATGGATGTGTTATTTTTCTTGGCCCTCAGACTTCCAGGTGAATTGGCCCAAATGACCTTGCATCAATTAAAAATATTTTTTTACTGCAAGTTTTTTGAAAATCTACCTTGATAAAGCAAATATTTAATATTTAGTGTTTGGTTTTAAGGATCTTGCATGAATAAAGACTGATGAATCATTGTAACATGTTAAACCTGCAAATATTTCAGTTATTCTCTGTATTGAACAGCAGTCTACAGCCCTCAATCAGACCTCTGCTTCATCTGTGTTTAGATCTGTGGCTCTTGATGGAAAAAGTTGGACACTCCTGGTCTGGGAGGTTCCACAGGGCAATTTTAGTACATTTGTCCTCGGTGGATTTATTTATTTTTTCTTAATTTTGTTATTAAATCTCCCTCTTTTACCCATTATTGAAGTCCTATACATCCTTTTTCCAGTACAACCTGTTATTTCACAATCTGCTGCTGTAGTTGTAGATGAAAAAAAAAAAAAACTCTTTCTTACAAAACACACAGCAAACATATATCAGCAACTTTTTGGACATAAAAATGGGTGTTAGCTACAAAAGTGTAAAATATCAAGTGTGTAAGTAAACTAAAAAAATCCTTATTACCTCAAAACAAAAAACTAAAAAAGTGCAATGGGCCCCTGACTTGACTGGTCATGGAAACAGCTGGTGTCAGGTCCAGGACACAGAGCCACATCACTCTCTGCATTTACTTTTGGATTTGTACATTTGGACTGAAATAAACCTTTCAAATAAAAATAGCAAAAGACCAAGAAACGTAATTTGGCATTTATCTGAGAAATATCTGCACTTCGAGCACATGTGTTTGGCAAAAAACAAAGTTTCTGTTGGACACTCGTTTTCCTTGGAAATATGCTCGGAAAGCCGCGACTGTCAGCTTTTCAAGAAAAAAAAGTCATTTTCTATCTTTTATGGTTGGAAAGTCATGAGTGGTTATGTAAAGCATGTTCCCATCTTAAATCGGGCTGGAGGAGTTAAACAGCTCCACTTTACATTTATTCAATTACAGGTGGTTTTACAGCTCGAAAATACAGAGAAAACCTGCTCTGACCTGTAACCTGGTCTGGTGTCCATGATGATAGAAAGGTTTAATGCCGTACTGTGAAACATTCTAGACAAAGCAATCACATCTCCATGGAGAAAAGCGTTTGAGGGACCCTCCACCAGAAAAGTTACACAATGAGAATAAAGAGGAACTGTCGGGACGTAACATCTGATGTAATGTGAAGGACAAAACATGAAATAAGTCACAAAAATGAGGCAAACTAAATCATATCTGAAGGAGCACTGCAAGAAACACAAATGTTCAAATCATTTCATTGTCACATAAAGTGTTTCACTTTAGACTTGCAGTGAAGTAGGCTATGTTCAGACTGCAGGGCTTAATGCTCAATTTAGATTTTTTTTGTGAAATTTGATGTTTTTGCAAGGTCGTTCACATTTCCAATTAAATGTGACTTGTATGTGACTCCAGTGTGAACATTAAACAGCCCAAAAGTGTCCCACATGTGACACTGGAGACACGACGACGTCAACCGCAGTGAGCGTCTCTGTGTTTACAGAAGTTGTCCAAACATGGACGCAGCATTGAGCACCTGGAGATTTTAAAGTTCCTCTCGTACCGGAGCCAGAACATGAACAACTTACTTGTTTTAAGGAGGAGATTGAGAAGGAGAAGGACGAGGTTTTTGGTCGTGGTGTTTTGTGGGGCAGCAGCAGCAACGTCTGTCGAAAGGAACGTGTGGATGTTGAGACGGAGCCAAGAGTGGTGAGTGGAGATGTGCTTCACTTCACTGACACGGAGTTCATTAACAATTTTCGTATGATGAGAAGAACGTTTGTGTACATTTGTGTCTTGTTGATAACATGTCGGTCGGATGAGAGTGCCTTGGCCGTTCAGACTGAAGTCAAAAGATCAGATATGTATCGGTTTTAGGAGCACATATCCAAGTGTCCTGGGTCACATTTGAAAAAATCAGATCTGTGTGGTTCAGACTGTCATTAAAAGATCAGATACAGGAACATAGGGACCAAAAAATCTGATTTGGGTCATTTCAGGCTGCAGTCTGAAAGTTAGGACTGGGTATTGTTAAGAATTTGCCGATACGATACATATCTCGATACATAGGCCACGATACGATACACTTTTCTATACAGTGAGCTTTCCATTCAATATGATTCGATACAATATATTTCACATTGATTCAATACGGTACAGTGTAAAAAAGGCTAAATGATGGCTCTAATACTAAAAGTCCACTAAGTTTGTGAAAAGTGAATGTGAAAAACATCCATTCTACTCAAAACAGTGAAAACGTCAACACAACTGTAGCTCTTACACAAACTCATTTAGTGAAAATATACCTAAAATACTCTTGACGATATATCGATACAGCAGCCCACAATATTGATAATGTATCAGCACATTAAACAATACGATATATATATATGCGGTTTGATTTAAATTGATTGATTCTGAATGTTTTATTTTATTTAATGATAAAAAGAAAAAAGACAACATAACATTAGAAATAGATGGATACAGATTCAAAGAGTAAATGAAACCACATTTTTAGGAGTTATGATTGATGAAGGTCTAAACTGGAGTTTGTCTCATATAAATGACACAAAAGGCAAACTATCCAAAGCCATTGCTGTTCTGCATAAAGTAAACTTCTCACTAAATAGTACAGTACAGCATTATTAACTTTATATCACTCTATAATTGTACCAGATCTGATGGACTGTGTGGAAATTTGGGGTTCAACATGTAAAACTCCTACAACCTTTATTTATTTGACAAAAAAGGGCCTTGAGAATTATCACCAACAGTCATTGTAGAGAACCATCCAACCCGATATTTGTTCAACTTAAAGTGTTGGTTATGCAGGATATTGTTGACTTAAGTATCCTCAAAGTCATGTATAAAGCAAAGTGCAATGTATCACCTGTAAATATTCAAAGAGTGTTTGAGATAAGAACAAGCCACTACAATTTAAAAGGAACCTACATGTTTAAAAAATCCAGATTCAGAACCAAGGTTATGGAGTGAAGCGTCGCTGTGAAAGGAGTTCACTTATGGAAGAGTCTTGACAAAGATATAAAAAGAATCAAGTATAATGATGACATTTAAAAAACATATAAAATTGAATGCAGTGTGTCTGTATGAAAAAGAAAACTGAGTTGTGTATAATAATGAAGATTTACTGTTTGCAATTGATCAGTAATTGTCCCTGAACTGATATGGAATGTTTAGTGACCATCGGTGTTAATGTATTATCTTGGAAAGAAAAGGGGGGCAGAGAACATAAGATTTCTCTTCTTTCTGCTCCTTTTCTTTCATTTCTTGTGTGTTTGATGTTGTGAAACTGTTGATGTCTTTTTATGCATTATGAAATAAATAAATAAATAAATAAATAAATACATCGATATTTTGATATTTTTGCACAGCCCTAGTGAACATAGCCTAATTGAGTCACTTCAAAACGTGACTCAAGTAGAAATAAGTGAGTAAATGTATGCGAGTACCACCCACCTGTGACGAGCGCTTCTAGAATTTCAAA